CCCCCCACCAAGGAGCCGTGTCCAAGGAATCGGCCGAATTCCCATGTGGAGCGCTTCCTCCGCCAATTAACTTCTCTCCCAGGGGAGGAAATGATACGAGTTTCTTTTAATAGGACTTTGATCTCTTGGGCTCTACACAGAACCGCTCCTGGCACTGGGATCTCCAGCRGTGTGGGAAAGGGCACACAGGATTTATTGGGCAAACACCTTTTATACCTCTGCCAGCATACACGGGGTGAGCGACGTTAATAATAAACTTTAGGCTTGTCTATGCAGCTAGTTYRGGMAGGGGAATCACTTTTGAAATTTGTATTTACACTGATTTAGCATCTGCTGCAGGCCGACTTGTCCTGGGTTGATTTAGTACYTTATTYSCAGGCATTTGCAGGACTAAGTCACAGGATATCAGTACCTTCTTAGTCATCTAACCACCCTCCAYGGGAAACCRGAGCACAGTAATTATGCAGCTCCTGGTCAAGCAGGACTTTTCCTAAGTCAATACCTGTGCAGCTGTTTCAGTGAATGYCTCCACACACACCTGTACACCCAACTYAGAGTCACTGTCAGCCATGAACCTGCTGGAAAASCCATTCAATTATTGAGGAATCACACAGAAAACACACCGACCTTCACTTTGTCCAAAGGGACTTGGATAYSGCAGGCTCCAGTCCCTCGTGGCTGATGTTTACAACCTGGTGCTGGCAGTGTTTCCTCYTCCAGCTGCCTTTTGTTTTACACCTCGATACACGCYCTGCYCARTGATGRAGAAACAYTGAGGACAATCCAGGTGATGTGCCCAGGGTGCATTTACTCCCACCTTTGCCRTGTGTAATACCTGTCCCTCACCCTGCTMCACGCCAGAGGACACATGGTTTTTCTCCAGGGTTTCCAAGAGCAAAARATCTAMAGTATCACTRAAATGAGAAGTGCAAGTGYTACATTGCTATGAAAACAGGGAGAAGGAAGTAATTAAGGAGCCCCTGAACTCCTGCTAACAAAGTTTCTTCTGGCATTAGTGACAGCTCACTGTTAAAAGTAACAAAAGTATTAAAAATTGTTACCACCAGAACTGGTTCCCAGTTTTCATTTTCCTAAGCGTGAACAACTCAGCCAAAAGGGGAATTCTTCCCTTTCCATTTTCCAAACCAATGCAGTGAGTGTTTACCTACACCTCCCAAGCCACTCCGTGGATATGCAGCTTTTTGCCTCTGATAAATAATTAACGTTTTATTTTGGAAGAGAAAATGAACCTGAAAACRAGGACCAGAGGCAGGGGAGATGCAGGGGAGACAATATCCCTGGGGCAGCCATGGCCTGGGCACACGTGATGGCTCTGTCACACCACGGTGCCACGTTTGCTTGAGTGGCCAAGCAGGCAGAGGAGCAGGACACGCTCCCGACATGTTCCCAACGTGCCAAGCTCCATCCTGGCTCTTCCCAGCACTCCAGGGCTGACCCCAGAGCGCAAGGATGCGGAGCCTCCCGCAGAGAGTGGGTGATTCCAGCTGCACTCTGCTTTGGGAAGCTCATGGACGCCTTCGGGAGCGTCTGTTTGTGTTCCCTGCATATCCTACGTGCTACAACTGCGGGGCATTTGGGACYTGTTCTTCTTGATCTGGGGAGCCTTCCCGTGGGGGCAGGGACCTGCCTCCACGGTCACTGCAAGTACAGTAAAATAGTGATATAAATCAAGGTATAACTTAAGGCAGTAGTTTCCCCAAAAGACAAGTTTTTTTTTATTGACTTGTTTATATTAAGAAGATAAATGCTAAGATGRTACCAAAAGGGAGCATGGATTCTGGATTTTTACTTGCAATGAAAACTTTGTGTTTCACTTTAGGTGATTCAGAGAGTCAATGKGATTTGGGGAACGGCAGCGTAGAGGGGCTGAGCACCAACTCCTGAATGCTCCTTTCCCAGGGCCAAAGGTCAGGCTCTGACTGGGGGCAGTCACATCCCAGCAGTGCTGCCCCACTGAGAGTCCAAGTCCCGTGACAACCATTCTTTGGCAGCTGGAATGAGAAATCCGGGCAAGAAATGCCGGAGGCGCTGCCAGACCCCTTCCCCTGCGCGGGCCTCYCCTGGCCCCCACGGACACCCCGAGCGCCGGTGATGAGCGGCCGCACACCGGCGGCTCCCGGGGGAGAGGGAGAAGGAGGCGGGGGGGACCCCGTGGCCCGGCCCTTCGCCGCTCGCAGCCCCCGCCCGGCTCCCCCGCTCCGCAGGCTGAGGCCGGCGCTGTGCGGCAGGGGCGGCCGGGTCCGGCCGGGGGTGCCCGGGGGATCCCTCGGCGCCGCCGCCGCTCGCCCCGCTCCTATTGACTTCCCATTGTGGAGCTTCGCAACAAAGGGTAGGATCCAAACCCTGCCCCGTTTCGTCCAATCAGCGTGCAGAGCGCCCGCCCGCCGCCGATTGGCTACTTCTRCYCCCKCAACACCCAATCGGGYGCCTACTTTAACAACCAATCAGCGCCTCGCCGTGCGCCCAATCAGCGCCGGGGAACCGGAGCACGGCCTTTGTGTGTGATGACGCGCCGGCGCCGGCGGAGGTCCCGGCCAATAGCGCGGCACGTTGCTTCCAGGCATTGTGACGTCACCGCGCCGCGCGCGTGCCCCCACTATAAAATGCGTGTCCCCGCGGCGGGGAGGGCGCAGTGAGCGACGCGGAGGCTGAGGAGCGGCTCGAGGTAGCACCACAGCGGAAAGGCTTCGGCGCGCAGCGCTACCGGCACCGGCGTTTCCTTCTATTCCTACCGGTAAGTACCGGACAGCGGACGCGTCCCGAGGAGAGCGGCGGTGCTGCGCAGTCGTTCGYGGCCTTGAGTCCTCTCGGAGCGCGGTGGACAGGCTGGGCCTTGCCTACGTGCCCTGAGTCACGGCCGGATCCCATCCCCCCCTGCGCCTCCTTCTCCCCCACCCCCCTCTTCCTCGGGGCGGCCCGGGAGGAAGGAGGAGGCGGCGTGACTCAGTCCGCTTCCCCGGGGAGGGGAGCGGCCGGGCCGCAAGGCGGGGGCGGCGGGGTAACCGTGACTCCTCCTTCCCGTCCCGGGGGAGGCTGCTGGCTGCCTGCCCACGGTGGGGGAGGGGGACATCTGGAGCTTGAGGCGATTGGCCGCTGTGTTGTCGGGCCTGGGGGTGGTGGAAAGACCCGGGCCCCGTGTCACGCGTGCTTGTCTCTGTAGGTAAGTGAGGAAAAATGGCCCGTACAAAGCAGACCGCCCGCAAGTCCACTGGGGGGAAGGCGCCGCGCAAGCAGCTGGCCACGAAGGCGGCCCGGAAAAGCGCCCCCTCTACCGGCGGCGTCAAGAAGCCTCACCGCTACAGGTAAGGCCCTCGGCTCGGCCCCGGCTGCCGCAGCCTCTGCCCCGCCTCACCGCCCCTTCCTCCCTCTTCTGTCCAGGCCGGGAACCGTCGCTCTCCGTGAGATCCGTCGTTATCAGAAATCCACGGAGCTGCTGATCCGCAAGCTGCCYTTCCAGCGGCTTGTCMGGGARATCGCCCAGGATTTCAAAACAGACTTGAGGTTCCAGAGTGCAGCCATCGGTGCGCTGCAGGTACTGCTGAGGGCCGGCTGGGCCGCGGCGCTGGGGGAGCTGCGCTGAGGGTTTCTAACGACATTTCTTCTTGTGCTCTTGAAACAGGAGGCCAGCGAGGCATATCTGGTGGGTCTGTTTGAAGACACAAACCTGTGTGCCATCCATGCCAAGAGAGTCACCATCATGCCCAAAGATATCCAGTTGGCTCGCAGGATACGGGGAGAGAGGGCTTAAGTGAAGGCTGTTTTTATGGTGTTTTGTAGTTAATTCTGTAAAATACTTTGGTTTTAATTTGTGACTTTTTTTGTAAGAAATTGTTTATAATATGTTGCATTTGTACTTAAGTCATTCCATCTTTCACTCAGGATGAATGCTAAAAGTGACTGTTCACATAAACCTCAGTGATGTTGAGCCTCGGGCTCGGGAGTGACAAGTTGCTAATATGCAGAAGGGATGGGTGTTCTTTCTTGCTTCTCATGCATGTTTCTGTATGTTAATGACTTGTTGGGTAGCTAAACTTGTAAGGTACTAGAATTGATATAAATGTGTACAGGGTCCTTTTGCAATAAAACTGGTTATGACTTGATCCAAGTGTTTAACAATTGGGGCTGTTAGTCTGACCATGCATCACTGTGATCAAATGTGGACTTCCTTCAGAGGGTGAAACTACAAGTCTTAACCACAGTGTAACTTACAGTTTCCTAAAAACGTAAACCTGGCAGCTATAGAATACACTATGTGCATTTATAATAGCTATTTTATATATTGTAGTGTCAACATTTTTAAATTAAATGTTTTACATTCACATGTGAGGAGTCTTTGTCATTTGGTTTGAATGGGCTTGAAGAAGCTTCTGCCTCCTCCTCCTCCTGCAGATTCCTGTAATCCTGGCTGCTGCTGTTGCAATTTAGCATCAGCTGTCARCAGAATGGAGAACTTGGGGCYACTTTTGGAGTATTTTGGAAATTTTGTGTAGTTTGAGTCCTTGACATGGCCAGTGAGAGCAGAGCCCTGCATGCATGCCTGTGTGGAGTCCAAGAAGACTGGCCGAAGCTGCAGCAGATTTTGGGGGGATTTATCCCTAATCAGGGCACAAAGCCAGCACTATGTTCTCCTTTCCAGTGGATGCAGGRAAAGTTTATTTTTTGATATTGGTCTGGCTGATGTAAAACCCGTGGTTGGTCCCAAGCAGTGCGGATGCTGAGGTGTGGGATGTGAGTGTTCCCATGGGATGGGGCTGTGCGAGGGGAACAGCTAATTATACACCCTGGGAGCAGATGGGCTGCTGAGCAAGCGGGTGGGTGCTCCATGGGATTCTCATTTCCCATCCAGGCTTTTTTGGATGCAGTGGGATCATACACAAACCCTCACTTCGGGTTTGGCTGCGGCAGGCCTGGGTTCCTCGGCAGCCAGAGCCTGCTGGGCTGTGCTGGAGGGAGGAAAGTGCTCAGACTGCACCTGAACCACACGGAAATTGAGGGTAAGGCCACTCAGCCCTGCCCCGACAGGCTGCACGAGTAAGGCTGGACTTGTCACGGAAAGCAGCACAGGGAAGTGGTTGAGCCAGCCTGGCTTGATTTATTCCAATGAAAGCGCTGTGGTGTTCTGGGGGAAGAGCAGCAGCAGTTCCTACCCRGCACTGGCTGTCCGTGATCTCCCACCAGGATGGAGTGGAAGAGMATAAAAACCATCCCCGTTCGTGCTCCGGGAGCCAGGGCCTGCATCCCACAGCTGCTGCTGGGCACGGCTGGGGCAGTGGCTCCTCATTGTGAGCTTCTCTCATCAGACAAACCACTCGGTGTGCTTAAATCCTGCAGCTGGAGGAACAGGCACTCCTTACCCAGGTTCTTACACAACCTCCTCACCTCCCTGTCCCACACTGCTCCAAGKGCACTCGGGGCAAGCCCAGCTCCTGGCTAGCTGCAGTATCCTGCTAAAAACCTGTTCTAAAATGACAGGTTTTAAACAAGTATTTTCSTATTCTCATCGCTAAACCTGTAGGGAAAAAGATTCCTTGATGCAAAGTAATTAASTTCACAATTTAGATGCAAAGTTAAGCAGCAGCTCAAACTTTATGTGCGGCTCAGTGATCTCAGGTCAATCACCTGGGCAGGTCTCTCCAGGGCCACCGCCTGGCAGGAATGTCCCCATGGGAAATCTGAGGATCAGCAGCAGCCCGTGTAATTCAGGAAGCACCACACAACTTGCATTTAGGCCAATTAAAAATGAAAATTTCCAAGCGATGGGATTTGTGAATGCTCGGTTTGGTGCTGAGCTGCAGTAGCAGCCTCAGCTCCTGCAGGAAAAGTGTTTAAAATAACATCCCTCGAAAACAGTATTTCCTGCAAGTCCTTACTAGAAACAATGAAGCATCTGGGTATGCCTAGAAGCTGTTTCTTAAAATAAAAACATTGTCTATTGGTCCTTAAAACAAAACCCAACACCAGAAAAATATCAAAGTATCTCTTCATCCTGGTAAGCCCAACAAAAGGAATTAAATCAGACCCTGCATGTGGTGGGCCAGAACAGAATTCCTGGTATTCCACARTGTTACTGATGGTAGCTGAAGCCATAAACCCTTCCCTTACCGATTCTGCCGATGATTTCCTCGCATTCTTGCTCCGAACTGGATGCAAACACCAGGCAGTCGAACGTGCTCCCGTCAGGGCTCTCGGGGGAAGAGCTAAAAATGGAAACACGTCCATTATCCAGCAGAGCTCGGAGCCCAGCCCTGCCTTCAGCCGCACAGGGATCCTGCGGCTGCTCCAGAGCTCGCTTGTTTATGTTCCCAGCCCCACATTCCCCTGTCCCCCTGTCCCCCTGTCCCCCTGTCCCCCCAGCAGCACTCACAGCACACAGAAGGCGAAGATCCTGGGGCTCCACGGGCAGCGTCCCACGCAGGAGATGGAGGGGTAGGGATGGCGGCACAGGAGCTGCGCAGGGCACAGGAAGGGGATGGTGTTGGGGGCTGTGGCCTGTCCCTGTCACCCCYATTCCTGGTTTATGCTGTCCCCAGTGCCCCTCCAGCTGGGCTCCCCGTGCCACCAGGCTCCCTGCACCTTTGGGAGTCAATCAGACCTCGGATGTCCCTTACTCACCTTGGAAGAAGCTTTCTCCTGCACAAGGACTTCTGCCTCCTTCACATCAAATAAAACCTCCTGCAGGGGGATGRGGGGGAAGAAGCCCCGATCAGCACAGCCCTGATCTCTGTTTTTAATCAGACACTCAMCACAGATTATCCAAACACGGAGGTGATGGAGCACAGTCAAGCCCAGCTTTTTCAAGTGTTCTGTGTGCTGCCCTTTTTTCCCCACCACCCAATGCTTCCACACTTCAATCTTTTCACAAACGACCCCCCAAAGGCTCAAACAGCRGWGACCTGAACCCAAGGCACCCCTGGAACCAGGCTCAGCCTTCCCACAGTTTTTGGGTTTTCCCGAAGGTGGCTGCATTTTTTCCTTAATGCCCTTTCCTAATCTGGCTATCCAATTGCTTCTGACCTGAAAAACATCCACAGTGGTGATGGAGTGGCAAATATTCAGTCATGCCAAATGTTCCTGGAGCTGGCAGGAAAAAATATCCACAGCAGAGACCCTGCATTCTCTCCCAGCTTCCCAGGATGTCCCCAGCCCTGTCACTCACCCGCGCTGCCACGTCCCTCTCCAGCACAGCAGGGATGGCCCCCTCCAGCACCTCTTTGCCTCCATACTGAAATGGAATGGGAAGGAGGGAATAACCCACRGACACAGGAAAAGAACTCCAGAAGAAAGGGTTCACCCCATGGCAGGTCCCTGCCCCACAGCCTCACCGTCCCCACGCTGGTCTGGCCCAGGTACCGCAGCTTGTAGAGCAGCCTGGGGGGAAAAGGGATCAGAGGAAGGACCCCACACACCCCACACACCCTGCTCAGTGCAGGGGTAGGTGCTCCCAGCCTTCCTCCAGCCCCAGGCACAGGGGATGGATCACAAGCAGAGATCAGGGTCAGTGTGGGCACAGGGCCACCCCGGTGCTGGGATCCCCAGCCCGGCCTGGGGGCTCCCCACAGCACAGACCCACCTTCCCCCCCGCAGCAGCCGTGGCTGCTCCTCGCCCCTGTGCCGGGGGCTGCGCTGGAGCTGGAACTGGGGCTCCTTCTCCTTCAGCACCTTCAGATAGGGCAGCAGCGGCTCGAAGACCTCCCCATTGTGCCACCGCCACCGGAGCAGGCGGAAGGAGAGCGGCTGTCCCTTCAKCCTCTGCAGCATGGCCCTGGCCTGGAGAGAGGGGGAGCAGAGGGGAGCAGGGGGTAGGAGAAGGGCGACACCCCGTCCCTGGGTCCCCACCCACCTGCCCGGGGTAGGCGTATCTCAGGGAGCAGCCGTTGATCTCGTCCAGGATGTCACCGGCCAGCACCACCTCGTCCACCTCTGCCTGGCTCTCGGGGAGCACCTTGGTGACAAACACTCGGCCATCCACGTACCTGGGGGTGCAGCTGAGCCTCAGCTGAGCCCCAGGGACCCTGYCTGGCCCTGCTTTTGTACCATCTGTGACATTTCACCCCTACACAGAATGCAGGGAAAAGCCTGCATGGACAGCAGGTACTGGCAAGGCTGAGCTGATGGGAGAAGAGAACCCGAGACAACCCCAGTGTTCTCAACAGGGTATTTATCTCCCTTTTTGGGGCATTTTGAGTGCTGTGATGACCAGATCTCTCTGGAGATTGGAGAGGAGGATCCTACCTGAGCACCATCCCCAGAGCTCGGCACGGGACTGTCTCATAAGTGCTGCACACCTGAAACGAGAGTGGATGGTGACAGTGGCCTTGCCAAAGGTCATGGAACATCCAAGGGACCCTGTGCCCCGGATCATTTCTGGCACTGATGCCATCCCAGGGCTTTGGGAGCCAGTCCCCAGTGCCCCAGGCTGAACTGGGACCATCAGAGGCTGCTTGWCCCTGTCCTCCCTCAGGATTCAGTTGTGCCCAGAGCCTGAAGGGACAAAGCTGCTCTGTGGATGAGATGGCAAAGCAACAGCAAGCCCTTAACTCACTGAGAGCCCTCCTCCCTCACCCCACATGTCCCCACACCGCCGGGGGATGTGGCTGCCCCTCCCCTGAGCCACTGCTGTTTGCAGCAGCACTTACTGTCACATCGCATTAGCCAGGGASCCGAAAGGCGGCCAGCTCGGCCGGGGGCACGGGCTGTCAGAAATGGCCCAAAGCCAGTGGGATCCCAGCTCTGCAGCAGCACCGCAGCTCAGAGCACTCCCTGACCAGTCCCAAAGCTGCCTCGAGCCTTTTGGGGATCCTTTTGGGTTTAAAAGGYAGTGGAGGGATGCTCTTCATTGTTAAAAGACATGAAGGCATCCCCACTGTTCTCAATAACGCACTGATGTTTCACTGAGCAAACCGAGTGAAACCAACTGATGCGTAATCTGTGTCAGCCCAGGGAAATGGGGAYTTTTTTTTTTTTTTTTGGCAAGAAATCAGGGAAGGGAGCACGGGAAAACTTCACTTATGTCAGCAATTCAGGCCTGGGTGCTTCTCTTGGTTGGTTTTACGCCCAGGAATGCCAGGATCTGCTCCCAGTGAGAGTGCAGGTACCCAGTAGGATCCAGCCTCTGCTCATCCTGGTGAACCTGAACCATCCCACCCGTGTGCATGGCAATCCCTCTCCACCAAACCATTCTTTATCCTCCCAATTTGACTTTCCAGGGAGGGTCAGGTGGTGGAAGGACACCTCCAGGGAGTGATGGGCTCTTACCGGCAGCAGCCAGCTCTCGTCCAAGAAGCTGCAATTCTGCAAACAAAGGAGTGTTAGCAAGGAAGGGGCTGGGGCCCCGCCTTGGCAGCCCTGTGCTGGTCACCACCCCACTGATTCACCTGCAGGTCCAGGGAGAAATCCATCTCTGTCAGCACCAGCAGCAGCGAGAGGAAAGGCTCTGCAGAGGGATGGGGATGGAGAGGCAGTGTCACCGCCAGGTTCCTGGCAGCCACAGCCTCACAGGGACACGGCAGAGGACAGAATAAAGCCATTTTCAGTGTAACTAATGAGCCCTGGGAGCGAGGCCTTGAGAGCATCCCAGCACCACAGCAGCCAGGCTGCTGCTGGAGGCTCATCCCAGGTTTTGCTGCTGGCACGGGTGCAGCTTGCTACCTGTTTTCCCCAAATTCAGATCAAAGCTTGCAGCAAATGCTCTCTGTTTGTCCCCCTGGAAGCACAGCCAAGCTGCCCAGGCTCTTCTGCAGCAGCCTTGCAATCACAGGGCCAGGCCTGCAATCTGCTCCTGCACCAGCAGCACGGGTGATTTATAAACCATCGATGCACAGGTTTAACGTGGGGTTATTTATCATAATCAAAAGATTAAAGGCTTCCACCCTTTCCTGGCCCCCCAAGGAGCTCGGCTGTGGGTGGATGGAGTGCTGCAGCCTGTCAAGGCAATGCAGCCATTTAAACTCCCCGTGTGACCCCTGAGCCCAGGCCTCCCCTCAAAGCCAGAGCGGGTCTGCTTAAACCAGAATCCTTGCTACAAAGGAATAACAGGAAAGAAGAAATTCCCCTATGCCACACCACTAAAGCCAACCATAGATGGATTCAAACCCTGTTTTAATATTTACACCTATTTTTTCCCCCACCCATCACTGCAGCAGCGTATTTAGATTCCAGCACTAAGTTTGGATTAGAAAAATCACAGTGGACTCTTTCCCCCTCCCCTGCAGCAGTGCAGTGCCACAACACCRGGCTGCATCCCGCCTCGGGTGAGCCACCATCTTACCCCGGAGATCTTCACTGCCGAGGATGGAGCTCTCTGGATCGTAGAACTGAAACACAGCGAAGCGGCACCAATGACGGCCCCATTCCGCAGCCCATCGCCCGTGGGCAGCTGCTGTCCCCAGTGCCGCACCTCCAGGAGCCGGGGGCTCTGTGCCAGCTGCCTCACGGCCACCGCCAGCACCTTCCCTTGCAGGGCCAAGCGCACAAAGTRCCGCCCCCGGCCCTGCGCCGTCCGYGTCCGCTCACAGCCCGCGGYTCTCCGGATGCTGGCGGAGAGAGGGCTCGGCCTGTTTGGGGAGAGGGGAGGCAGCTTTAGCAACACACGGGAGYGTCCTCCCTGCGCCTGGGGTCTTTGGGATGAGCATGTCGCGACAGGCACCACCACAGCTCAGATTGTCACCCCATCCAGCTCGGGGACACTCACCTGCCGCCGGTGCCCGTGGGGAGCTGCTCCAGCCAGTGCCAGTAATCCCGTCTGCGGAAGCCCCAGGCCGGTTCTGCGGGAGGAAGGGAATGCCAAGGAATGCACGCACTCCCTTCCCTGCTCCGAGGGCCCCGGGACCTGCCACCCCCTCCCGGGCACGGAGGGTCACTCACGTCGGAGCCCCTTGCGCAGGATGCTCTCCAGCAGCTGGCACAGCGACACGAGGTGCGGCGAGGTGTCCGTGCAGGGCCCGCCGCCGTCCCGCAGCCGCAGCACCGCTCCTGCGGGCACAGAGAGGGCAGCGGCACCCGTGGGTGCCCAGCCGGGAGAAGGGGAGGGRGCACACCCAGGGGACAGCTCTGCACGGCCCCGAGGGGTCCGGCACGACCCGGCCCTCCCCGTCTGGCGGCTCTGGGCAGGAGCTCGGGTGAACCTCCCCGCGGCCACGGCCGGGCTGGCCAGGGGAGCCCCGCCGTCCGTCCGGTCAGACCGGTACCGGTGCGCGGCCGAGCGCTGCTGGAAGGGGCCAGGCTCACCTTTAAGGGCGCTCAGCAGCGGCTCTTTCCTGGCCATGGGCTCGTTCTCCCCCGGGCCGGGACCGAGACGGCGGCTGGACGGGAACGGGGAACCGGGAACGGGGAACGGGGAACCGGGAACGGGGAACGGGAACGGGGAACGGGGAACCGGGAACGGGGAACGGGGAACGGGAACTGGGAACGGGGAACGGGAAACGGGAACGGGAAACAGGAACGGGAAACAGGAACGGGGAGCCGAGAACCGGGAACGGGGAACGGGAAACCGGGAACGGGGAACGGGAAACGGGAACGGGAAACCGGGAACCGGGAACCGGGAACCGGGAACGGGGAACAGGAAACGGGGAGCCGGGAACGGGGAACGGGAAACGGGGAGCCGGGAACGGGGAGCCGAGAACTGGGAACGGGGAACGGGGAACGGGGAACGGGGAGCCGGGAACCGGGGAACGGGGAACCGGGAACAGGGAACCGGGAACAGGGAACCGGGAATGGGCCCCGCCCCAGGAGCGGAGCGGAGCAGCCCGGCCCCACGGGCGGGGGAAACTTCACTCACACACAGGTGTACGTGTACTTAAACTGAAAGCGCAAACACGGATGTGCACGGGTGTAACGCAGAGACACATATACACATTTATCTGCACAGATGTAACAGTTCCATACATTGTACCGGCAAAACCCGCATCTGTGAGACACCCGGTCAAACAGACGCACATTTACACGTGTGTTAGGGCAGGCTTTGGCATGTGGGTGTATGTGTTATAAAGCCTCGGTGCGGGCCCTGCCGCGGGTACACACGGGGTGCGTGTGGGCGAGTGCTCGCCCCATCCGTAGGGATGGCCAAACACGAACAGCGATTCCGAGAACGGCGCGAAGGGGCAGTGAGGGACCCGGGGGTGGTGCGAGACACGGGAACGGTGCGGAAAACGGGAACCGTACGGGACCTGGGGGCGGTGCGGAACACGGGAACCGTACGGGACCGGGGGCGGTGCGGGACCGGGGGCGGTGCGGGCTCCATCAGGGGCGGTGCGGAACACGGGAACAGTGTGGGCTGACCGGGGGCGGTGCGGAACACGGGAGCGGTACGGGCTGACCGGGGGCGGTGCGAGACCTGGGGGCGGTACGGGCTGACCGGGGGCGGTGCGGGACGCTCGAGGGAGGTGCGGGATCCATCGGGGGCGGTGCAGCTCGGCCATGGCGGAGCCGGTGGATCCCGGTTCGTCCCCGCTGCTGGCGGCCGCTCGCCGGGCGCACGAAGCGGCTTTCGGGGGTGCGGCGGTGCTGGCGGCGTGGGCCCCCGGCCGGGTCAACCTCATCGGGGAGCACACAGACTACAACGGCGGCTTCGTGCTGCCCATGGTAAGGGCCGTGCTCCGTCGCTCCGCCCCGGGCTCTCGCCGGGTCACCCTTCCGGGTCCTCCTGGCCACCGCCTTCCCACCCCCGTCCCAGGATGTCCCCTCCAGGACACCCCACCCCGGACCTTGAGGGATCCTCCAGGATCTCCCTTTCACCGTTCTGCCCCCGGGATCCCCTGCCCAGGACCAGGGGGTTCGGAGCAAGACCCGCTGCTGCCCCCTCTACAGACCAACTCCTCACTCGCTTCAGGGCGAATGTGATTCCCTTTCCCAATCCCCTCTCCGAAAGAGCCTTTTTTTCCGTGACCCCGTCAAACAACTTCCCAGCGGGCGAGGTTTTGGGGGCAGAGATGCTTCAAACAGCAGGAGCTTCCTGCTTCTTCCGCGCTCCTTTGGCTCAGCGAGGAAGTCCCCACTGAGCCCTAAATCAAGCCTATATCTAATTACTGTGAGGCCGAGGAGCGTGGGAGCAGGGCAGCTGGGTTCCCTGGCAGGCAAGAAAACTTCCTGAAGCCTCTCCCGTCCCTGCCGCGGTCCCCGCTCCCCCGGAGCCCAAAAAGCGGCACCTGGGGCCGGGCTGGGGGCTCAGRCACAGCATTCAGYGGGAGACTGACCCTGTGTGTCAGTRAATAGCCAGGAAATTTCATTCYGTGCCAAGCCAGAGTGTGCAGTGGGGGTTCTGCGGGGTTAAGGAGAACGCTTGGTGCTCCGGCT